TTGGCAGGGCTCTCGGAGGGGCTCCGGCTTCGACTCCTGAAGGAGCCCTATCAAACGCCGCTGCCAATAACTTCTTCAACCGGAGGAGCCGACGATAGAGCCGGAGCCCTTTTGCGCTAGTGAGAAGGAGCCACGATTCGAGGCTTCTCGCAGCTCCGCCTGACGGCCATGGAAACAAATACGTTGGTGCCCTCGTCCCCTCGCTCGATTAGGCAGAGGTGACGCCGGCGCGGTGTTTCACCGAAGCACGCGGGTGGCGACGCGGGCACCTGAGCTGCGCGGGCAGAGCGGCAGCGTGGAATAGCGGCGGCGTGGGAGAACAAATACGTTGGTGATTTTACCTCATTTCTTCCTTCAAAAAAAATCTTCAGATATGATTTACTTTAATCGTGGCCAATATTATGACTTAATTGGTGCAGGATGATCAATTACTATGTAATTTACTATATATGAACTGCTATTATATATACAATCAAGTCAAGTAATATTATAATAGGCTAGGGCACCATAGACATTTAACATCTTCCATACATTAAAAGGGAACATGAGGAGCCATTTTGCTAAACATTTTAAAAAACAGCTTCTACCCATTCAAAGAAGCCACTTGTTCGGAGGAGCTAGAGGTAGAGCCGGAGCCGGAGCTCCTCTCGAGGACCGAGGTCCCTAACAAGGCCTAACTTTAGTACATAGTCGAGGTGACAGCTTGTCGCCACGATGACTGCTACTACTCCTGACCTTCGTCCTGTTCGTTTGGCTAATAAGCTATGAGTAAAAGTACTATTGGCTGATTTGTTGTGAGAGAAAAATAATGTTTGTTGGTTGAAAAAATACGATTTATAAGCCAAACGAACAGACCGTTTGTTACAGGGTGAGTCTGAATCCACAAATGATAGTAGAGCTGTGCGTGAGCGTGACGGACCTGTCACCGTCGCTTTGAAGTCTTGAGATTTCTGTAGACCCTGCTCGCCTCGCCTGAGTACGTACTAACGTTCGGTAATAAAGCGTGGCTTCTAAAAGTGCAGAAACGGAAGATACTTTAGCGCTCTGCTAATCTGACGTTGACATGCCAAGCAGGCGGGCCGGACACACACGGGAAGCTACGTACGGGAGCGGAGCACACCAAAGCAGTCCCAGTCGGGTCCCAGCGCCCGGCCGCGCGCTCCGGCGTCGGGCGGGGTCGCGTGGCTGGGCGGTCGGTTAGATCGATTTCAGGCTATTCCTAGCTACTCCCTCCGTCCCAATAAAAATATAATTATAGGACCAGATATGGATACAAGAAAAGATAGAAAATTTCGAAAATGTCCCTGGACAGTTCAGCCACTGCACAATCCTCTACCGTCGTGATTGCTCGCTCCTCTCTATGCCGTCTTATCGTACAGGAGCTTTCTGGAAGATACTTCAGGAACGAGTGGATAGGAAGGCACACAACGCCTGTTCGTGAAGGTTGTGGCCGATTTTTTTATTTGAGTGCAGCAACTTTTTTTTTACAAGAGAAGCCGAGAAGCCATGTGCTTGTTTTGTTCTGAGTGGATCCCATGCTAGCTGTGGTTCATGTGTGTATTTTTTATGGGAAAAATTTGAATGTTAGGATTGCGTTATTTTTGGGACGGAGGAAGTAGAATTTGTATTCTTCGTGCCGCCGCGGCCCGCGGGTGATCGACCCAGTCGGAGGGAGCCCGTGTGCCCGTGCGCTTCCGTTTGCCTCGCCCTCGCGGGTGCGGCGCCCGCGACTGGCTTGCTGCCGTGGTGCCGACGGAACGGAACCGAGCGGGGGCGCTCGACAAATCAGGCGGGGTGTAGGTGCTGAGTGCTGACTGGGTTCGGCACGTGCCCAGAAGCCGTACGCCGGAGATTATATCCATCAGATCGATCGACGACGTGCCAGACACGACTTTGCTTTGTACTAATATTAGCCAGCTACGACTTTACTTAGTTTATTACGTATATCCCTCGGTAGCTAAGACTTTCCCTTTCTGGTAGTGCTTACGGTATCTTAGGCTCTGTCGCAGCCGATCGATCCCGCAACAGAACTACAGAAGCCAAATTGACAAGTACTTAAGTAAGGCCATGTTTAGTTCCCCCAATTTTTGAATTTGGCACTATGCAAAAAAAAGTTTTCCCGTCACATCAAACTTGCGGTACATACATGGAGTATTAAATATTGACGAAATCAAAAACTAATTGTATAGTTTGGTTGTACTTTGCGAGACAAACATTTTGAGCCTAATTAGTCAACAATTGAACAATTATTACCAAATAAAAACAAAACGCTACAGTAGCGCACCGAATCCGGCGGCGCCGAATCGGTGGCCAACTAAACGAGGCCTAAGCTGTGATGACATCCATCACGGCTGCCCAATTTGTTTGACTATCCAAAGCCAACTGGAGGCGTACTTCTTCTGCAACAAGCAGCCACACACTTTCAGATTGGTTAATTCATCATAGTGCTAGTACTACTAGTATTATTCAACAAAGGCCGGGCGGAGACCCAGTGCGGCCGCCGGCGCACACCACGGAGTCTGGAGAGGCGATAGATGATGCAATGATTGACGTCACCGTGGGTCGACCTGGTACTGTTTTGGCTTGCCTTGTGTGTGCATGTGGCCGAGGAAACGAGATAAGCACGCGCATGACTTAGCTACCGGACAAGTTGCACGTCTAGGTAACCTGCGTGTGGACGGAGACGGAGACAAAATATGGAGGCAGAAGATCTGTCTCTGTCCATCGATCGATACGCCGTGTCCTGGACATGGTCAAACAGTAAAGAGTCCCTCGCTACTTCGGGCTCACATGGCAGTACGGTGGCTGTTGGTTTGATGAATGAATGAACTAGTCCATCATCTCCTCACTTTTTACCTTTTTTTGTTTGGTTTGTAAAATGGGATGAATTGATCCATCGTCGTCTCATTTATCACAAGCTAATAATCACTACTCGTATGAAAATTAAAGTCATTCTACCAGATTTGATGAGCGAACTCATGATACACAATCTCATCTAGAATGGTTTGGTTACTCAAACCGAACACCCTATTAATTCCTTCCTTCCTTCCGGTGTACCCTGATTGTTTCTGGGAGTGCGAAACTGCGAACATCATGTAAACCATTTGGTTGCCACAATGTGCAAGATAGATGGATGTTCCTTCTCTCTGAAGTAGCCCCCACCCCGCTCCATGCAAAAACAATGAAATTTTCACTTCGCGAGGGGTTAAAGAAATTTGATCAAAGTATTAAAAATACTAAAATTTATAATGTCAAATAAGTATCATTGGATTAAATACAAAATATTTTTTTATAATAGAATTTATCTTAAAACATAAAAAAATATTAATTTATATAAATTTGATCAAACCTCAGAAGGTTTAGCTTGTCTCAAACCTACAATTACATTCTTCTTGGAACTGAGAAAGTACTCTCAGTACAAATATGAATGTCGTTCCAAGTCTAGTTCTCGAACTTTGATTGATGGTGTCTAAACTTTTAAATAGATAATGGGCCTGTTCGCTGGTTGGTGCTGGTGCTGGTTTAGGCTGGCTGGTGCTGGTTTTTTGTGAGAGGAAAACACCGTTGGCTGGCTGGTTTGGGCTGGCTGAAACTAACGAGCGAACAGACTGAATATACTAGAAATTGTCAGTCAAAGTTTGAAAAGTATGTGAATATTGGCAAATGTAAATGGATATGGACTTATATTTTCTATAGGAGAGGAATTACTCTATCCGAATGAACTACTGCAGAGTATCGTTGCCACGTTGTGAATGGACCTACGTCGGCTGTTGCAAGATCATGAGCCTGGATTGCCGACGAGCGACGACGACAGCTAGCTCCTGCTACGTTGCCGATCAACGACCACTGGCGCCAGGCCGCCAGTAGCGTGAAGTATACTAAAAACAGGAAACGCGCCATTGCTATAAAAAAAAAACAGTACATACTCTTGAATACTCAAGACCGATGTGTTCTTTTACTTCTGAAGCAAACATGAACACAACCTGTACTAGCACCTAGCAGTGTAGCTGTATTATTTTTTTTATAACTAACCTAGCAGTGTAGCTGTAGCAACCACATTTCGCTATCACACGTCATTTGCCTTCGTCTGACGGCAACCGCGTCGTCAAAGGAACACCTCCCGGCCATTTGCCATTTAGCAGCAGGCTACTGGCCGGGGGAGATTTGGTCTGCCTACGGACACCTGAGATCATATGCACAGTAATGTCGGTGCCTACGTGCTCTCCATCATCTCCACGAATGATGAAAGCGTTGATAGCTCAGCCGACAAGCTCATCTCGCTCAGTAGTCGTCGCGTTAGTCAGCTTGCGCACATGCATGTCGTTAGCCAAGTTCCAGGCTTCCAGCCCATCCATCGTTGCTGGCGCATACTTGTCCACTCACATCGGCCCCACTTGCAACTATACTCCCTGTCTCAAAAAAAAAAAAAATCTAAAACAGTGTCATATTTTAGTATATTCAATTTGATCAATTATAGATAAAAAAAAGTATAAACATTTATAATATCAAATAGATATCATTTAATTAGTTACAAAATGTATTTTCATAATAAATTGGTTTGGAGTCATAAATGTGAATATTATTTACTAAAAAAAGTTGGTAAAACGTGAGGTATTATTTACTTCGTCTATACTAATAGAGGCGTACTGCACAGCCTAACAGCACCAGTACGATTTGGATGGTGACTGTTCTTTTGGTCCACGAATAACAGCCGCGTGAGCTAGGAATTTACTCGGCACTTGCATAAATCATACGACGCAAGTTTTGATAAATTACAGCCGACTGAACATTCTCAATGAAACACTTTTTTCCGGCTCATTTTCCGTGTCACAAAAGGGGGGCAAAAGCTACTTGGCGACAATAGCACACATCTAAATATAATGCAACAATATATATTTGGCTACTCGTTGAGCAAACAGATTTCGTTGCTGCGTGGTGCCCTGGCACAAAATCTGGGCCAACTCAAAATTCGGCCACTAAGACAAGGCTCCACGTCCATGTTATAGCACCAAAACTTGAGATTTGAGGTCGATTCCGTTAAATATGAATGTTCCCCGCAACGGCACAAACTGCTTGGTGACCAGCTGAAAGATAAGAGGGAAAACGAACAACGATAAGTAATAAAAAAATTTCCATTCCAAATGCAATAACATTCACACTAGTGTCCAAGTATATACCATCCTATGAATTCAAATCACATTTTCCCCCCATTTTCTCCAATGTTGTGTGAAATCCTGGAAATTATGTATCTCTTCAGGATTGCGGGGAATGCTGTATAAGGGGCCCACATACCTTAATTACTTCTTGGGAAGCGACTCCACCGACAAAAGCAGCCACTGGATGGATCTCCGCAGCCCCGAACCGGCACATTTCAGTTATCAGGTCTTCGGATAAGGATGCTCCGTTCAAACCCATCTCACTTAGCACTGAAGCCGCAACTGTCTTCAGCCTAGGGATATCCTCATCAATCTCACTACCGAATCCAGTGTATAATCAGTATTATAAAAAAAGCAGATCATTTCTCCACATGTGGGATAATAATGTTCACCAATAGCAAATGAAGATTTCTCCTAAGTACCTGTCGAAGATTCCAGGCAATCTGCTATAATTGGCAGCCAATCGATCAACAGCCCGTAGTAGAATGTAGAAGTTCATTGCGTAACTGCAGTGACACATTTGATAGTCATTAGAGAAGACATTTAAAACAAAGGGACAGCTATTTCAACTAAAAAGGAGATCATACAGAATATCAGAAGTACGTATTTATGGGATGATAAACATATGACGTCCAGGCTAAATGCTCAAGCTCAGAATCAAGACCATGATATTCAAAACATTCACAGTACGATTGTACGTAGTTTTAAGAACTCTCTCTTTATTTATTTTTAAAAAAAAACACTACTCCCTCCATTCCAAATTATAAGACGTTTTGGCTTTTCTAGATATGTAGATTTTACTATGCACTTAGATATACATTATGTCCAGATACATAGTAAAAGCAATATATCTAGAAAAACAAAACGTCTTATAATTTGGAATGGAGGGAGTAACCCTGCAATATCCTAGAATTACCTAGTTTTAGGGTGGCATGTTACTATATAATGATTGCCAATGTTTTCAAGTCGTCCGATTAATTGCGATTAATCGTGCTAATCGGTCCCTGCTAACTGATCAGGGGTACCGTCGACTTGTACAAGTCATCCGATTAATCGCGATTATTCGTGATTAATTGTCCTAGTCGGTCCCATGGCGACTAGGTTCGACTGGACGACTTGAAAACATTGATCATTGCAGAAAATGGTTACGGAATTAATAACAAGAGGAGATCCAGAACATGTAAAACACTTCCTTTTACATCAACTAAAGGAACACGAAATAAATAGAGGTGGAAAAGCAAAATCAGAGTAATGGATGATGACCTGTAGTCTTCATCGGTGAAATACCTCTGAATCTCAGAGACAATTGGAGAGCCAAATTCCTCCTCGAAACTACGATATCTACAAAGCTAAACAATGGAAATTATTCAGCATAGATGACAAACTGGTAAAAATGACATTTTGGTGTACTTATTTACACTATTATAATTGATTATGAATATACAAATTTGAAATTAAACCAGAAACCACTGATAGGTGCAACACTAAATAGAGTATGTCCCTGAATGAATGAAAACAAATTTGGTGCCTGCACTAATCATTATTCTATTATTCTGAGAGCAAGCAGTGATCTCATCGTGCCAATAAAATCACCTTTATCCAATTTGTCATTCTGGCATGGATAACCAGACATTAAAGTCATCTCTACAACATATTAATTGTCACAAATTCACAATGACCGCATGAGGCAATAAGATGTCACGTTGTGAAAACATGCCATCTAAAAAAAGCAGCTTACCCTTAGTTTCCTAGAATTTTTACAAAATGTTTTGATATATGTTGTTGAAATAGAATCCGGATCTCTACCAATCCGCTTCAAGATTTCCTTTACATGATGCTCCAGGGCAAGACAGTCAAATTCCGCCTTAGCTTGGTAAATCTTTTGTAGGCTTACATAATACCTGTAAGATGACACAAGGAAACATTACAATGTTCACACGAAATGGTAGCAGAATTTAAAACTAGAGATGGCAACTGGGCACTTACTCAGTAAGGGAAGTCATATCAGGTATTGTTCCCTCCAGAGGTAGCTCACCATTGCCCTCCTTTGCAATAAACTCCTATCAATAGACAGGAGAAACAACACAAGTTTTGAGACATAGACACCATGGCAAAAAAAATGCTTATATGTGGACTATGTATAGCTTATGTTCAATATACAAGCAGCTTCCATGTATTAAACATCCCCAGGGTTTCTATTTTTTCTAAGTTGGGCTTCTTCAACAAATGAAATGGATAGGTTCAGCTTAGAAGCCTTCAAAATCAGAAGATGCCTGACACTAAAATCATGTTTGCAACAGGGTTCTAGCTCTAGAAGGATGAATTTGACCTTTCAATCCGACTAAAGCAAAGCTTTAGTTTGTGAGCTTAAAGCACATCTAGAACTGGACCAAGCAAGTCCAACTGCATACTGTATAAGACATCTCAGTTATATTAGCAGCTTGAGATTTTAGCACAAATGCAGCTTGCGCATGCTCATTGTCCAAGCAGTTTCATTGCACACATTTTAGACAGCTTATCAACGTTTATGGCCTGAGATTTTGGCATGAACTATAGCAGTAAGACACAATTAAGATACCAAGAAAAGAAACTTCCTGATCTGCTTTTAACAACAGCAAGAGAGGCCACATAATAGACCAGTGACAAATGAATCAGCATTCAGTCAAAAGGAGGCCAATAAACTTTTAACCATGGTTTGCTAGCTTTTACTGAATGGCCCATAGCATATAACATAAGTCAACATCAAGTACATTTGAATCACAATATGATAGATACCTTTAAAGCAGCCACTAAAATCCAGAAATCTGATGATGATGAATTGACTTCAGCAGAGTCATCATCAATTATCTGACGGATCTCATTACCTGGCAGAAATTAATCATGAGTCAGAACCTGCATGTTTTATAGTTGTGTGCACCATTTTGTATGAGTCATTCTATGCATGAACTTGCATCATAAGCAATAAGAACATGATACCATACAACGGGATTGGGAAGGCCACTTAGGTTAAATCCAGAGCACGATTACAAAACTGTATGTTACTATTGTCCAAATAATGTAATCAGAAATAGCTTCAACAAATTTTAATTAAAATGAAGTCATTGCAGACAACCCATAGCCACTACTTTATTTATGTGATCTACTAGTGTGCAAGCATCAACTTGTTCTATGTAACTAGCATATATCAGTACACAGCATTCAAATGCTAGCTGAGTTTCATTGCTTCAATACAGATTTTGCACAGGGGATGTTTGGATTCAGGGAAATGAGGGTACGATAGGGATTAGGATATGGGACATGGAAAAGATGGAGGGTTAGAACCCAAGTAATGAATCCATACCCTCCTAATCGCAACATCTACACCTAAACCTACCTAAACAGATAAGAAAGCATCAAATCTCAAATGGGATAATCAATATACATTACACAGTTCACAAAAGAGCTCTGTAATTGTGAATATCTTGTCATATGTTTGCAGCAAAAATGAGTGGCATATTAGTGTTAGAACAATATATAAGCGCACAGCCACGGGTCAGCATTGTAATTCGTGATCAAGTACCTAGAAAATTCTAAAGGGAATACACACAACAAGGTACAAACTGGTAGAGATATTGCAACTGATGTTCATTGCAGCAATCAATCAAAATGTGATACCGTCCATCTGGCAATAAGACCACTCACATGTGACATCAAACATCCAACAATAATGAAGTCTGGATGGAATGCTTGAAATCTGATCTATGTAAAATTGTAGATCTAAAAAGTTCAGCTGAGCATTTGATAGAAAATGGAAGTGGATTGTGGCTAAGCTATCTATTGAAAGTGCTAGGCTCGAGAATATTTTTCATATTAAGATACCAAGATTCAGAAAAAGGACATGTCTAACACATACAGAAAATACGTGAACGTGCCAAATCGTAAATTTAGGAACTAGCCCTTTTGGTCAACTTACTGATTCCTGGAGTGACTGAGACTTTATATGAAGAGTCCACAGCTTCTTTGTAATTTTCTTCATCGACATTAAGCATATGGGCTCGAATTAGGTCCTGATAAAGGTAACAATTAGTCAGTGCCTTGACAGTCTTAAAAAAACACATTAACAGTTCGTTTACTCAATGACTCAACAGTACTAAAAGAATGTAACCTTAAATTCCTTTTCTCTTGCCTAGTTGAAGGCATGTTACCATCATGGGCATCAGCCCATTTTTTTGCAAGTCTCACAAGGATAACGATGTATGGAGTATGCTTGTGGACAACAGGATCCTTATCATTTATGTCAATTGATTTTGCAAATCTGAGAAACATAAGTGTCAACAATAACAGTGAACTTGTGTATAATGACAAAACTATGACACACTGTTATGTGCAAATTGAAGGTATGAATATATTTGTACTGCTTTAGTTCAGTCCATGGATTATGAAGTCGCAAATCATCCAAGAAGTGGTCTGGTTTTGATTCTATGACACAGTGCTCCTGGACAACAATAAATAAATATGTGAATCTTCCAAAAATGCTTTTGTTATGACTTCCCCCCAAGGCAGCAGAGACATAACTCCCAAGAAAGGGAAAAAAGTCACATACAACGTGACCCAGATAGCAAGGCCTTGTACTCATACAGTCATACACAACTATGAATGTATGAGCGTTCAAAATCACATGGTCTTGCTATCTGCAACTGTGATGTCACGATAATTAATTATGTTTTCATACGAAAGAGACTAGTTTTGGACATAAATAAATATATCAAAGTACCTTGACACTAACCCTGACCAAACCGGTTAGACCATATGAACGTGCGGCAACCAAAACGATATCTGCTTTCCTGCAGATATCATCTAGCTTCAGTAAAGAACTCTCTGGAAGCTGCAACGTAGAAGAAAAAACAGCGCATTAAAAAAAATATTTTGAGTTATACTGCATACAAATGTTTTGCCAGCAATACTAATAAAACAAAGATTAAGGAACTCTACTAGCATCAGTATCAATAAAACCTGAAGGAATAATCAAACTGTAGCGCTACAGACCAAAACCATATTATATTATTATGTTAAAAAAAAGAAGGCGGGCTACAGAAACTAGTATTGTCAAAATATGCTTCTAGCCAATGAATCCACTTATGGTCGCATGGCCAAATAAGCAACGGTGAAACTATATTTTTAACTACAAATTTAACAGCTGGCCAATCATTGGCGGGACATATCGAAAAAGTACTAATTTAGGGCCTGTTTGGTTGGAGGCCTATGCCTAAGAATGCTAATGAGAGTATGCATAACATCAATGCGCTTTTAAATATATATAGTGTGCAATTAACATATACTTGTATAGTTTGATTAGAAAACTAGATGATTTCGATTAATGTTATTTTTCTAGGTTAACTAAAAAATATTCTAATAAAAAATAACTATACTTAATTTTGTATTTGTATAATAATAAATCCCAACATATTTAACTATTTTTTTCAAATAAATAATACTGATTAAGTTGTGTTCCATCATCCATTACTTTCCTGACATTAAGCAACTAATCACTATCATTAGCCCAGGCAACATTGATCCAGGCGCTCAATTTTGGTTGCCTGGCCGAGCATGCACTCGCCTGGTTCAGGAAGCATATCATGGTCATCCAAACGGAGCACAAGGTTTTGCCGTCATGGTCACCAATGCCAAGAGGGCAGCTATGCATTAGCTATTGTGTACGAATTTGACACAACAGTGAGTGGCCTGGCCCAATGCCATATTACTGTCAAAGCACCATATGTCTACAGAAACTGGGTTATAACTGATGCACAAGGTATAATGGTTGCAAAATGAACCGAATCAATACACTGCTCTGGCGTAAGCCGCGTAACAATAATTTAAAAGCTATCTGGTACATAAGAGGGACATCACATCCAAGGTGTCTTAATAAGAATCATTCGTCCATATAATCTTCTTTCACAAAGTATAAACTTTATTAGAACATTAACTCGTCTATGACATTTATGGTAATTGAGAGCTATGAAATCTTCTAATATTCCTCTTACTGGTTTCATCTCTTAAACATTTTTGTTTCACATAAAACATGTGTTCAACAACAACAACAACAACAACAACAGCAACAAAGCCTTTAAGTCCCAAACAAGTTGGGGTAGGCTAGAGTTGAAACCCGGCAGAAGCAATCAAGGTTCAGGCACGTAAATAACTGTTTTCCAAGCACTCCTATTTAAGGCTAAGTCTTTAGATATATTCCATCCTTTCAAGTCTCCTTTTATTGCCTCTACCCAAGTCAACTTCGGTCTTCCTCTGCCTCTCTTCACGTTACTTTCCTGGCTTAGGATTCCACTACGCACCGGTGCCTCTGGAGGTCTCCGTTGGACATGTCCAAACCATCTCAACCGGTGTTGGACAACCTTTTCTTCAATTGGTGCTACCCCTAATCTATCACGTATATCATCGTTCCGAACTCGATCCCTTCTTGTATGACCGCAAATCCAACGCAACATACGCATTTCCGCGACACTTATCTGTTGAACATGTCGTCTTTTCGTAGGCCAACATTCTGCACCATACAACATAGCAGGTCTAATCGCCGTCCTATAAAACTTGCCTTTTAGCTTCTGTGGTACCCTTTTGTCACATAGGACATCAGATGTTTGGCGCCACTTCATCTACCCTGCTTTGATTCTATGGCTAACATCTTCATCAATATCCCCGTCTCTCTGTAGCATTGATCTTTAATATCGAAATGTATCATTCCTAGGCACTACTTGATCTTACAAACTAATACCTTCCTCCTCCCGAGTAGTAGTGCCGAAGTCACATCTCATATACTCAGTTTTAGTTCTACTGAGTCCAAAACCTTTGGACTCCAAAGTCTCCCGCCATAACTCCAGTTTCTGATTCACTCATGTCCGGCTTTCATCAACTAGCACTACATCGTCCGCGAAAAGCATACACCAAGGGATGTCCCCTTGTATGTCCCTTGTGACCTCATCTATCACTAAGGCAAACAGATAAGGGCTCAAAGTTGATCCTTGATGTAGTCATATCGTAATCGAAAAATCATCCGTGTCTCCATCACTTGTTCAAACACTAGTCACAACATTGTTGTACATGTCCTTAATGAGCCCAACGTACTTCGTTGGGATTCTATGTTTGTCCAAAGCCCACCACATAACATTCATTGGTATTTTATCATAAGACTTCTCCAAGTCAATAAAAACCATGTGTAGGTCCTTCTTCTTCTCCCTATACCGCTCCATAACTTGTCTTATTAAGAAAATTGCTTCCATGGTTGACTTTCCGGGCATGAAACCAAATTGGTTCATAGAGACCCGCGTTATTGCTCTCAAGCGATGCTCGATAACTCTCTCCTATAGCTTCATAGTATGGCTCATCAACTTAATTCCCCGGTAATTAGTACAACTTTGAATATCCCATTTATTCTTATAGATCGGTACCAATATACTTCTCCTCCACTCGTCAGGCATCTTATTCGATTGAAAAATATGGTTGAACAGCTTGGTTAGCCATACTATAGCTATGTCCCCGACGCATCTCCACACCTCGATTGGGATACCATCCGATCCCATCGCCTTACCTCCTTTCATCCTTTTCAACACCTTTCTGACCTCAAATTCTTGGATTCTCCGCACAAAGCACCTATTGGTGTCATCAAAAGAGTCATCCAACTGAAAGGTTGTGTCTGTATTCTCACCATTGAACAATTTGTCAAAATACTCTTACCATCGATGTCGGATCTCATCCTACTTCACCAAGAGATGCTCCCTCTCATCTTTAATGCACTTAACTTGGTTGAAGTCCCTTGCCTTTCTCTCACAAACCCTAGCCATCCTATAAATGTCCTTCTCTTCTTCCTTCGTACTCAAATGTTGGTAAAGATTCTCGTACGCTCTACCCTTTGTCACACTTACCGCTCGCTTTGCAATCTTCTTTGCCACCTTGTACATAAAACATGTGTTCATAAACCCAAAAGTTCTGGCTAGCACCAGCAAACTAATCATGCTCTTGCAATTTATCTTAAAAGTAGACTGAAGAACACACCTGAGTAGCAATGACAACAGTAAACTGGGAAAAGAATGAAGGATTAGTGTCTATCAAATGCGCTGGAAACTCCTCAACAAACTTGGCTTTAACAGCGTCATTAAGCTCTTGTAGGAAAGAACATATAGATTTAGCTCTTGGTTGCCCCAAACATCCTTCATCCACTGCATGCAAATTTAAGGTACCGGAATAAGAGTTCCATCAATTTCGTGGGGATGAATTCAGTAGAACAAGTGGAATCACATAGCGAAGAAATTACACAGAAAATTGTTGCCCAGATCAGATGCTTCAACTTTGGAGCCATCAACAACAGTCACACTTCCTATTCCTCCAAGCACGAGATTCTTCAAGGCTTCTGTTCCAGTAGGACCACAGTTAAGCAAGCATATGCTAGCCTTCTCCAGTGCAGCCTGGCCTTGATCACCCCATATCCTGCGCTTTGCAGTTAACAGATGACAGGTGTCTTTCAATATCTGGGCATGCTATCTGATCAAGTAGGCAGTAGAATAATCTGGAAAAATAATAAGCATTGTACCTAACAAACTACAGGTTAAACGACGGAATGGATTTCATTAGTTTTAATAAACAATGCCTGTGTCATGGATTAACAATTCAAATACACCATTACCAGCCCATAAGAATTTGCAACAGAAAACTAGGGTTATTTTGCTGTTGCCTCAACAACTAATGAATATGGCCAGTAGGTAATGCTGAATTGCTGGCTGCAAATAGCTTAATTTCAAAGTAACGCTAAGTCATTGATCATACTGCCATGTACCATGCATCACACAACGCAAGAGCAGTCTAAGAGTCAAACCAAGCAGATTAAAATAGGGACAGACTAGAGCAACTGGCTGTGACCTGTGATGGCAACCAGAAATCACCAACCTAGGCAGAGATCATTTAATTGACAAAAGACTTCTAGGCATTTAAGGTTTATAGTCAGGTTTGATATTTGTACCGTCCAAAGTGCTGTCTCACGTAATTACAAAGGCAAAAGACAATTAGTAACTTCCTAGCTAAGGCAATAGAAGCACCCGCTAATTCAGTTGTTCATCTAGAACCAGTAAAGTAAATCACTATTAGATTGCATCTTGCCATCAGAATGCCATACACTACCTAAAAAGTTGTAGCAAATTCCTTGCGCATAACAGATGAACCTAACAATAAATAAATCGGTACCCACCGATGTGGAAGCAAGCAACCCCAGCTCTAATGCAAGCCTTCACAGTTGGACCGACACCATATCGCTCGAGAGTCAAAAACCAAAGGAGCCTAAACCCTAGTCGCCGCAGCACAGCACATCCAGATCGATCTCTAACCGAATCAAATAAGCAGAATTACATCGCTGCACGACCCTAAACCCTAGAATCAAACGAAGCCAAGCGCTCGGAATCTACCCATCGACCACGCGGAGACGAGGAGGTGCAGGCGGGAGGGGAGAGCGCAGATGCGCGTCGAAGGGTTACCTGAGCTGGCGATCGTACTTGGTCTTGGGCTCGGCGACCACGCCGGTGGCGGCCATGGCTGCGGGGCGGGGCGGGGCGGAGGCCACTGTGGTCTCTGCTCTCCCTGTGGCCTGGGGTTTTCGGAGTTCAGATCGCTTCGCCCCGCTACACTACGGCAGGAATAAAGCGGCGGAGCGGAACAAGGTACGGAGGTTTTTTTTTTTTTGAGAAATACGAGGTACGGAGGTAGTATAGCTTCTCCGCGAAGCTGGGCCAGCCCAATAAGATACCGGGCCAGAATATGGCGCGAAGACGAGCGAAACAGATGGGTGCATCGGCCCAGTAGAGCATACTATCTGAAAGGCCCGGTTTGCTAGTGCTGGCCCTGGCCCAGAGTAATCAAATGGAAATTTTAGGAGAAGATTTATTTGGAGCGAAATTGCATGCACCGTGAATCCATCAATCCTTTCCTTTAAAAAAGATCCATCATCCCCAATCCAGGTCTCTGACTGTTCCAGTCAGAATCTAACTGACTTCAGGATTAATAAAAAAAACTAAAAAAAGATGCTTCAGGTTCAAGAACAAGGTTATGTGATGTACTCGTACGTCACTGAAAGGTTGGTTAGTAGTAGTCGTCGTCGTTAAAGAAGCAGGGAAGATGCGTTGTGCCAGACAGTCACTCAGACAGGCAGACAGCCAATTGCACTGCAGGCAGAATAACATATTTTCAGCCGTAAACGATGTTCGCTTGCTCGTAAACGATCGTAAATTTTCAGTCGGGAACCGTGTTTTTCTCTCACACCAAACCAGCCAGCAGTAAATAATCCACGATACGATACGGTCTCCCGAACAGGCCGTTAGAGCTCTGCTTTGTCCTGATTGCTGCCAGTTAAGGAGCAACAAGGAATAAAGTAGGTCTAATGATTTCTAGGAATCATGGATTACTTTACATATTATTTGGATCGATCATTGTGCACTAGTATTCCATTAGCGTGCTGCTTTCCGCTTCGTTTTTTATTTATTTTCAAGTTGGGAGGGCCTAGGTAGCTGCAGAGGCCATCCTCGTTGATATTGGAGGTCCGCGCTTGATATGCGTAAATAAAAAATAATTAAATGAATTGTTATGTTCATTCAAAGTCAGATAAGATTGTCAAATCGGAAATTTGGGAGTCAGAGGCCGGATAGATGCGATACGACGGCCACCTCGCTCAGAATGAGTTCGGGAAACAAAGTGGACTCTTACAAAATTCAGCACCTGTTAACTACAATACCAGCCAGTACAATTATGCAAGAGACTAACGACATCTGGATATGTTAACAGCGTTATTCTATTAATCTTCTCAGCATCATCAGACAGGGAATGATACAAGAGTACGTGACGGCAGTTTATTTACTGCTCGTTCTAATTGTCCATGCGGTGTGAGAACATGAGCTGACCAGGATTATATTATCCTACTATAAACACAGTCATCGCTATCGATCCACGCGTGGGTTAATTCAAGAGCTGAACATCAGCGCCCGTTAAATTTGAATTTTTCTTAATTTTATAGTCGAATAACAAATCCAAGTGTCAATCATGCATCTCAAGTCTACTCTATCATGTTTGATATTTAATGCCACGAGAAGAAGCCGCAAGTCAACTGCTAGAACTTAGGGTGTTTGACACGGCTCTTCTTGAGGGGCTCCTCCAGAGGAGCTAGAGCCGTTTTGAAGAACCCTCAATTTATGGCTTCTCCAAAACGGCTCCAGCTCTTCTTGCTTTTTACTGAAAAATGGCTTCTCTAGAAAAACGTTTTGCAAGGCTCCTTCGTAGAAGCCAGAACCAGAGTTGAGAAGAAACCTCGCCAAACAAACCCTAAAAGTCAAACGTCCCTTGCATGCAAGCTCAAACAAGCAATCCCCGTCCGTTGACTTTGTAACAAATGCATCCTATAAATAGCATACAATCCTCCCTCACTGTAGCGTATCATCATCACGCAGCAGGCGGCAGTCCGACGAGCATTTCCTGCCGATGAAGAGGCTCACGTTCGGACAGCAGGAGCCGGAGCCGGGCGTCATCAGCGTGGCCCAGGGGGTCATGCTGCTGCTCGCGCGCAGCGGCAGCGGCGGCGGCGAGCCGTCGCCGTCGCCGCGCGTGTTCGAGTGCAAGACGTGCAGCCGCCGGTTCCCGTCGTTTCAGGCGCTGGGCGGGCACCGCGCGAGCCACAAGCGCCCGCGGGCGGCCGAGGCGGCAGCACCGGCCAAGGCGCGCGCGCACGGCTGCGCGGTGTGCGGCGTCGAGTTCGCGCTCGGGCAGGCGCTGGGAGGCCACATGAGGCGCCACCACGCCGTGACCGACGGCGAGGAGACCGGCGGCGCCGCTAGCGCCCACGGGCTGGACCTGGACGACGCCGAGGCGAAACCGGAGGAAGCGAGAGGCCTGCTGGGCTTGGACCTCAACATTGCCCCGTCATGACGGAGCATTTTGGGATTTCGTGTTCAATTCGTTTTTTGTTCTGGTTTTGCAATTCCGGCGTTCTTTTGTACAAAATCACAGTACGACTACGACTACGACATGATTGATTTACTTTGTATTCCCTCGATTAAAAAAAAGATTGATCTGTAAAAAAGCAACTATCCAATGTAACTTTTGTTACGTAATTTTGTAGTCAAATAACAAAATCATAGTTCAAGACACTGCAACTATGTAATGTAACTTTTGTTGTAAAAAAAGCACACAACACTTCAGCGTGTATGTGCTCAATGACCGAAAAAAAAACTCACCACATCCCAAGGATGACGCACCTAGACAAAGAGCTCACCGACGTGATTTAGGGCCTTCGAGGTTAGAGCTCAGCATTTAGGAGGTTTTTATGGCTGTCGAACATAAAAGGGGGTTTCTAAAGAGTTCATCAAATTAGAGGCAGTGACGATTTAGGGCTTCCTAAGTTAAAGCTCAGCATTTAGAGGGTTTCTATGGCTATCAAACACAAAAGGGGGTTTCTAACGAGACCATCAAATTAGAGGTGGTGACGGTCGAGACGGCGACAAAAGAGTGAGAGGCTAACTGCTAGACAGGAGGGAGAAGATACCTTAAGTTTAACAACAGCGGCGACAACAGTAATGGTCTAGTGATGATGAATCGACGATGGCAAGAGAGGGTGGCAGGAGGAGATGCCAAGGAGCAAGAGAAGACGTAGTTGACTCACACACCATAGCTGTATTTTAAAAAAACATAGTACTACTCCTTTCATCCACTGAGCAATGTAACTATGTAATTTGTGCAAGTCAAACTAGCTTTACTTTGACCAAATCTATAGTAAATATATAAATAAACTTTACTCTCCAACTAAATTTATTATGAAAAATATATTGCATAATTAATCTATAGTAAATGCTAGCACTTTTTTATATAAGTTCAAACTTCAAATCGTTTGACCGAAACATAATATCTGGAGTTGCATCTTTTGTCAATAAGAATTGCATCTTTTGTGGATAGAGAGAAGAGAGAACCATATAACTGAAACAGAATATATGGAGTTGTAGCGTCCACGAGATCAAACCAACCCCACCCAGTTGTATCCACGCTCGTGGTTATCAAGAGCAGAGTTTCCACAATATAGCAAGTAATTGTTCTGACTTAACACCCATTTTGTCCAAATCACAACAATTGCAATAACTAAAGAAGCACAAGGAGAGAGTAGCTGCCAAAGAATAAAATGATGAAAATTACATGCGCGAAAACGCCACTATCTTGCCGTGACAACTGTTCAGGAGCCGCAGCAAGCTGATTTCTGTGCCGCTGCTGCATCAGCTTCCCCTTCAGCCTTGATCTTGATAGTTCGATCCTGCAAACACGCAAGCTAAGGAACTGTGGAAGAAAAAGCAGACGTGTCAAAGGATCAAAGCTATGAAAAGGGTTGCACCTCAGGCTTGGAATCAGTCTCTGAAAGTCTCTGTTTGATATCCCTTGCTATCGAAAAGAAAACCTGCTCGACATTCAGGTTTGTCTTTGCACTCTGCCGCAAATAATAAAAAACAAATTATGCATCAGTTATGGTACAAGAAAGGAATGCCATAGGCAGAAGTTGTCATTTTCACTAACCGTTTCAAAGAACTTTATCCCATATTCGTCAGCGAGAGCTTGCCCCTTTGAAGTGGGCACAGCCTTTACGAAAGAAAAATGAGCATGTAAGAAATAAACGTTATTATTATAAGTATAAAGTTTAAGAGATCAAATAAGAGTACAAAATAGATAAATTGTGTACCCGTTTACTTTCATCCATATCAGCTTTATTCCCCACCAGAACTTTGTTCACATTATCCGAAGCGTGTTGCTCAATGTTTCTGATCCAATTTCTTATGTCTGCAAGTCAGCACCAATGACAGTATTAGAATTCAGAAATCGAATCTGAACTGATTTAAGAAAAAACATTTAAGTACAAGGGTCAGTACTATTGAAAGATGACTCGTCTGTGACATCGTACACAAGTAAAATGCCCATTGCTCCCCTGTAGTAGGCTGCAAAGAAGAATTGCACAATCACAAACTTCATCGTTATAAAAAAAAACACAAACTTCAGCCATACAGTGTTTGGAAACGAATCATATTTGCTAAAAGGAAAACAAGCATACCAGTTGTAATAGTGCGGAAACGTTCTTGGCCTGCAGTATCCCAGATCTGCAACTTAATCCGTTTGCCATCCAACTCGACAGTCCTTATCTTGAAGTCAATACTGTTTTCAAAATTCAATGGGTAATAATAAGTCCATACAAACTTTTGCATGTAACTTAATAATTCCTCAATACATAATAATTCCTCTACATACCCAATAGTGGTGATGAAGCTAGTGGTGAATGATCCATCTGAAAACCGTAACAGGAGACAACTTTTTCCAACACCTACATAAGTACAAAAAAAATTGTGACTGAAATATCAGCCGGGTATACTTCCCAAATACATCGGCCGGAAATACTCAACAACAACAACAACATAGCCTTTCAGTCCCAAGCAAGTTGGGGTAGGCTAGAGTTGAAACCCACCAAGAGCCCCAAGTCACGGTTCAGGCACTTCAATAGCTGTTTTCCAAGTACTCCTA